ACCCCTCCACAGCCTTTGTTCAGTTTCCCGGGCCAAGGTGTCACCTGGCCTCCAACCCCTTCCTGGGTTCTCATGTTACACGCTCAGGTATTCGCCTTTGGGCAGACTCAGACTCCCATCCCCCAATGCAGACTATCCTAGCCACACTCCCCTGTCAGCATTCACACACCACAGTAAGAACAGGCCCAGTTCGTCACAGAGGGACTTTGCTACAAACTGAAGCTCTGAACAAAGGACTGAGGACCCATCCCAGCTGGGGATGTTCCAGAGACTTGATTTGAACCTGCAGTTTATTGTATCGCGGCTGCAAGCCTGAACCAAGAACTTTGCCATCAGTGGATGTAACTGATTCCATTTAACCAATTCTAACTCTCATCTCTATCTTTTTCCCTTTATGAATAAACCTTTAGATTTTAGATTCTAAAGGACTGGCAACAGCGCGATTTGTGGGTAAGATCTGACTGGTACACCTCTGGGGGAGGGGCCCTGAGCTGGGACTGTGGTGGGGATGTGGGCACAGGAGGGGCTGAAACACCTGGGAAGAGGAATTTTGTCTCTCTACCTGACAAGCCCCTGACCCCACCCCAGACCTTCTGCCCTATGTCTCTTTGCCCCCTTACCCCTCCCACTCCCGGAGACAGAACTAACCCCCACAAAGGAAGTGGAAAGAGTCCCCGGGCTGGCGCCCACACTGAGCCCTGCTGGGTACAAGCACCTTCCCCAGCCCCGCCCATGCTGAGCACAGCAGGCACCCAGCAGCAGAGAGGCCTAGACAGGGAGCTGAGGAGAGGGGATCCCCTGGGGGTCTGGGGAAGAAGGTGTCTAATTCGCAGATAGACAAGAGACCTGCCCTGGGGAGGGGGGACACTCCCAGGATACAGGGGGACGCTCCCTGCCGGCTCGCCTCTAGGCAGCTGGTGGCTGGCAGGTGCCGTCCGGGTGCCCAGACAGGGCAGTTTGTAATCCAAGCATCTTTGAACACCCCCCACCCTCTTCAGGCTCAAGCAAAAGTGAGGGAGACAGGCCCAAGCTCTGACCCCAGGGCACACCTGTGCCTCACACAAACCCTCATGCCTGGCTCTCTGTGGGCTGCATGGCATGCCAGGAACACAGGTCTCCTGGAATCAGGACTGGGGCCACACTGCATGCTGGGGGCCCTGCTCCCTGCACCCCATGCCACGGCCCTGCACCTGGCCGCACGGTAGGCTAGGCCTATGGTCTCTGTGGAGAGAGCACTGCCCAGAACCTATCAGAGTCCCCATACGGCCCACCTTCCCCACCAAGTGTCCACAGGCAGGACAAACAGACTGACAGAGGGGGACTACAGGCCCCCGAGTCCTTCGTGGTACCCGATACCCTGAAGATGAGGGCACCGTGGTGAGGAGCATGCTGCAAATTCCTTGTTCTGGTGTCACCAGGGTAGGAGGGTCCATGGCCTGCATGGTCCCTTCCCTCCCTCTGTCCCCCCAGGCACAGAGTCAGGGGGCACAGCCCCAGAGCCAGCACAAGCCAGCCCGGATTTATAAACTGCTCCCCCAGGGGCTTGCACTGAACAGAATCTGCCTTCAAGGCTGGCTCTGCCAAGAACCAGCAGAGACTGGGCCAGGGGCTCCCTACGCTGACAGCCAGGCAAGCCCCCTCCATGGTAATCTATGCAGGCAACCTCCCACTCACATGGCCTGTCCCAGGGTCGCTCAGCCACAGCAAATGGAGCCAGAGCCGCATGCCATGCGAGGCCCTGCGAGCCAGGATGCACCGCCTGGCCCAGCACCACTCAGCCTCCCCCACCCAGAGAGGGAGTCCTCTGCACTGCTCACCCACTGTGCCCTGGCCTGCAGGGACTTCCCACCCACGAGGCCACTGTCCAGGTAAGCTGTGCTAAGAGACGTCCCTCGCTGACCCCTTACACAGCCCAGACTCTGCTGTTCAGTGCCGAATACCACCTGTCACTGGTGCTGCCACCCCTCAGTGCCCCATGCTCTAGGGTACTGAGAGCGGAGATCCGGGGTCAGGAGGGACTGAAACAGGAAGGGTCCCTGCTAGAAGGACAATAAAGCCTGGCTCTTTGCCATTTCTTACGGCTGAGGGACATCAGCTGGGGTCTCCTGGTAGCAGGGTCTGTCCCCACAAGAGTGGCTGGCCAGGATCCACCCAGGGGCCCATCCAATCATTTCTGTAACTCAGTTCTCACTTGGCTAAAGGGTCTTTGATCCCTGCACCGTACAGCGAGCCCCCGGCAGCACCCAGGAACAAACCCCTCTTGCCATTCTGGGGGACCACGCCATAGCGTTAGCCCCACCCCCACGCTCATTTGTTCTAAGGTCGGTTTCCTTTCAAACACAGCAGGCTGCAAAACGAGGCCCAGGCACACCAGGGGTGTCAGTGGTAATGCTGTCCATGCAGCCAGAACTGCACCTGGTCACACATGGCCCCAGCTCTGCCCCCACATGGCCCCAGCTCTGCCCCCAGGCACACGTGCAGTCTAACGAGAGGACTGCACACTGATTTCAGCGGGACACCGCCTCTCTGTGGCCAGGCCGTATTTGCAGTGATGGCAGCATAAGCCCACAGTAGCTCCGGGGAGGCCATGGAGGGGTCCCATGCGCAGCAGGGCTGATCCCAGTCAGGCACTGAAAGCCACCCCGCAAGGAGAGGTGAGAACTGTACTGAGCACCTGGCAATTCCTGGCAGAGCAGGCAGGGGCACTGGCAGCCTTCCCACCGTCACCAGGTACGTATATACACACTCTCCCCACACCCACAGCCAAACCACCACACCTGCCCCCAAGGCGTGCCAGCCTCCCACCCCCTCACAGAGCCTTTCCCCGCCCCACTGGGGACACCAAACCCCACAGGGCAGCCCTGCTCACTCGCCTCCAATGACAGCTTCCCCACCTGTCCCAGTCGGTCCCTCTGCTCCCAACCTCAGCAGTCAGTATCATCCTTCAATCTCATTGGCTTCCCCTTACCCCCGCGAATACTCAGCCCCCCTCCCCAGCCTACCCACCCACCACCTTGCTGATCTCTCCTGTGCATTCTCCACACCCTGCGCATCAGACCCAAGTCCCAGCACAGCCTACCTCCGGCCTGCCCCTCTGACTTTCGGAAGGGCCGTGTAGCCACAGTAGCTGTGGGAGGAAGAGAGGCAGAGCAGGCCCTCCACAGCAACCAGGGAATGGCCGAGAGCTCTGGCGGACACTACGGATGCTCAAGGGGCTGGACGAGATGACCTCTTGAGGTCGATCCTGCCCTACATTTCTGGGAGTCTCTGAGAGGGGGATGAGCATGCAGCAGGGAGGGGAGCCTAAGGCCTTATGTGCACAGGAAAGTTTAAGCAGTTGCACCAGTGCAGATGATCTAGTTATACCAGTATAAACACCCATGGGGACACTCTATTCCAGTACAAAGGTGGCTTTATTCGGTTTACCCTGAACCACTTCCCATGTGACAAAATCAGTGTTGAAAACAGGCTCTCTTATACTGGAACAAGTGTCTACACAGGGGGTTAGACCGGTATAACTAGAGTAGTTTAAACCCACACCTGAGCTCATATCCACATTGTGCCATAGAATCCTTATGGAGAGTAATTCCTACTATAGCAGTAGGGCTGTATTACCGACCAGCTGACCAGGATGGCGATAGTGACTGTGAAATGCTCAGGGAGATTAGAGAGGCTATAAAAATAAAAAACCTCAATAATAATGGGGGATTTCAACTATCCCCATATTGACTGGGTACATGTCACCTCAGCACGGGATGCAGAGATAAAGTTCCTTGACACTTTAAACGACTGATTCTTGGAGCAGCTGGTCCTGGAACCCACCAGAGGAGAGGGAATTCTTGATTTAGTCCTAAGGGAAGCACAGGATCTGGTCCAAGAGGTGAATATATCAGAACCGCTTGGTAATAACGACCATCCTTGGGGACCGGGAAGGGGGAGGACACCAGAGAAACCCACCACAGTTCAGAAAGGAGAACTACAGGACAGTGAGGAGGTTTGTGAAATGGAAATTAAAAGGTACAGCGTCAAAAGTGAAATCCCAAAAACGAACCACCGTGGCTAAACAACAAACTAAGAGAAGCAGTGAGAGGCAAAAGCATCCTTTAAATAGTGGAAGTTAAATCCTAGTGAGGAAAATAGAAAGAAGCATAAACTCTGGCAAGTGAAGTGTACAAATATAATTAGGACGGCCAAAAAAGAATGTGAAGAACAACTAGCCAAAGACTCAAAGAGTAACAGCAAACAACTTGTAAGTGCATCAGAAGCAGGAAGCTGCTAACAACCAGTGGGGCCCCTGGACGATGGAGGTGCTAAAGGGGGAACTCAAGGCCGATAACTAAGGCTACGGTTTGTCACAGGTACTTTTCGTAAAACAAAAATTTACGACCTGTGACCTGTCCATGACTTGTACAATATACCCCGACCAGCCCCCGCTCCCCACATCCTGCCCCACGGTCCCCCTCGCCCAGCCCCTGCCCCCCACCCCACGGTCTCCCCCACTCCCCACATCCTGCCCCACGGTTCCCCTCGCCCAGGCCCCGCCCCCCACCCCACGGTCTCCCCCACTCCCCACATCCTGCCCCACGGTTCCCCTCGCCCAGGCCCCGCCCCCCACCCCACGGTCTCCCCCACTCCCCACATCCTGC